AGTGCCCCCGGCCGTCTGCACCCCCGTGCCATACACGACGGCCAAGCCCGAGAAGTTCCCCGAGGCGGCACTCTGCTCTGTCGCGCTGTCCGACCAAGTCGACTGCCTGCTGGCGGCCGTCCGCGCCCCACACGCTGCTGGTGTCCGGAAAGTGGCGTGCGTGGCGCCCAAATTGTACACTGAGAAAACCGTCCCCGAGTTGATGGCTTCTTGGTACGGCAATGAGACTGCCGCCACGATTGACATGTCCTACTACGCGGTGCCCGGCCACGATGGCCGCAAATGGAGGCATGGCTCGGAGGTACTGGACGACGAAAGGGCTGGGCATAGGCCGGAGATTACTCATGTGGTGAGACGCAAATACAAGTGGCTTTAGTGGCGCAGGCAGCGCTGCCAACAACGAGAAGAGGAACGCTGGAAGCATTCAGGGTCCTGCGGAAGCAGGGGATGAAGTCTTTCGCACCGGCTTGCCTCCCCTCCACTGGCCTTCACCAGATGCTGAGCCCGTCACCGGGAATCCAGGTGCGGATCAGTCATCAGCCCCTGCACCCCCCGTTAATTTAGGCAAAAACAATAAAAGAGAGGGCGCTGTATCGGTTTCACCTATAAAAGGCGCCTTGCCGAACAAAAGCAAAAGCACGGGCCCGCCCGCCAGCAACATCCATACCGGAACCGGAGAGGGTGTGTATGCCGGCGACGTCAGCAGAGGCAGCAGCAGCAGCAGAGAAGAAATAAGTGTAAATGCATTTCTGCTGCACGCTCGGGCCGCGGTGGCGGTGACCATTGCCACGAGACCCTCCGCCTTTGAGAAGGTAGGGAAGGAGGGGAATGGGAAGACAGGACCGGTGGGTATCTGGTCGCTGGCTTTTTGCCTTTTCGTTGGTTTGGACGCTTGTGACAGCCGCCGGATATCCGAGATACTGGGGTCATGCCCCTCAAAGAACGTGTCAGCGGGAGACGAGGTCGCGCTTTCCTGTCCACCCCGGCCTCTCCCACCTTATCGCTACCCTCTGACCCATCCATCTTCCGCTTTCCCCACACATGCCACTCCATATTGGGCTCAGACCACCCGTTACTGCGTAGTGAAGCGCAGCAAAGAGCCCGGAAAAGGGAAGTGGAGCCTGCCGGGGGGCAGCGTGGAGCTCGGGGAGGAGACCCTTCTGGCCGCCGCGCGCGAGGCCAGAGAGGAGACCAGTCTTTCCAAGGAGGACCTCCGCTTTTATCCGCACGCGGTATGCACCACCGACGCCATCTACAGGCGGGAGGACGGGGCCCGGGGGTTCCTCTTCCATTACGTGATCACGCACCAGGCAGCTTGGATCACCACCGGCGCCATGGACCGGGCGCGCGCAGGGGACGATGCGGCGGAGCTGACGTTCAAGACGTTGGAGGAGCTCAAGGCTATGTCCTTGGAAGGACTGCTGGTGGGGAATGTCTGCGACGTGGTGATGCGGGTGGAGCGCCTCGTGGCGAAAGGTGTCATCAACATCGAGTTCGACCTGGTCAGACTGGAGGCTTGACCCCAAGGTCACGAGCCTAGCGACACCCTTGCGTCCTCCCCGCCTTTGCAAGCCACGGACTTTGTTCGGCCTCCCAGCCCCCTTGGCGGACGAGAGAAGAGTCGAGAGAAATTCGGGACCGGGAGTGTGTGGAGTTGCAGGTTGGAGGAGTTTGGCGTCAGCGGATGAGGCCCGATGTTGTCGAGGAGGGAAGGAGATGCAATAGGAGATGAGAGGAATGAATATTTCGTAAACTCTGGAGCAAAAACACAGTGGACTTGGCGCTATGGTGGAGGAATCTCGGTCAGTTAATCATCCCCTGCGGTTTTAAAAAGGGTCAAATGCGACGTCAGGCTTTGATCCATGCGGGAGGGTATAGGTGGCCAGATGGTGGCGAGAGGCGATACGTGAATTTGCGTGTTGGTCAATGGGAGGATGTCTAAAAGAAGCATACCTGTACAGATTTTTGTTGACGCGAAAGCTTCAGTCCGATACATTCTTGATCAGGCTGTGCATTTTGCTTTGTTTTATGGCCCTTCAATCAAATTAGGAAGTAGGTACTGGAAGCGTGCACCATCTTTTTCCAATTTTGTGTTCACATTGGGACCATTGACGGCGGATCTTTTTAATCTATGAGCAGGTAATTGTGCTGTGTATCGCGGGTTTGACTATCCTGTGTCTCTGGTTGCCATGCTAGAGAGAAGCTGACGGCTAAGACCTTGAAGCTCGCTCAGCAAGGTAGTAATGGGTTGTGTACGGGATGAGGCCTTGGAACTCGACTTGAGCGCTTGAGAACGCTGCCTGCCCGTGGCTTCGAGCTGCAGAGCCGAGCTTTCCGTCAAGAAACGCTCTGTGGTCGTGATGCTCAAACAATTCGCCTGGCGGGGGGTCAGGTGACGAAGCTGAAGGGGTCCAAGGGTAGGAAACGGGACAGGGCTCGACCATGTCCCGCGCGCCGCACGTCCAGTACCAGCGTAGCTAGCTGCAGCGATCGACGGGGACTCTAGAGGACTCAATCAGGGGTTTGCAGGCCTTCAAAGGCGGCAAAGAAGAGATAAGATGGCAGCCATTATTGTTTCCCTTTCGTTCTTGCTTTTCAAGTTTTACAGTCACAAAATCGAGACTGTTAACATCAAGCAGGCCTCTTCTACGCAGGCGTAGTTTGCCGAGGTTGGGCGTCAAGCATGGTCCTGCGCGCCCATTCAGAAAGCAGCCCAAGATATGAGCAGTGATTTATCTTGGCAAGAGAAGGCGAAAAAGTGAAGGAAGACAAAGAGTGTACTGATAGTGCTTCTGAGGCTTTCCATATTGCCGTAGATGGTGCGGGCTCGATGTGTGAGCTTCAAAGATTTGAAGTACAGGAATGGAGAATTAATTCAGAAGGACGTCGCTCATCAGGTCTTTCATCGCCCGAATCTCAACGCGTCGACCTGAAGCCCTCGCCTACCCCGTCGACGATCGCCTCTCTCTTTACCACTTCCTCTGCTCCGCCTGCAAAATTGACTTGGGCCTAGGCCAGGTTTCTGCTCACCCGGGAGGAGATGTGGGCCACTTCGATAGCACAATACACGAAGGCGTGGGGTATCTACGGCCTTGTTTCTCGGATGCTACGGCCTTGTTTCTTGGGTGCCCTCGTATTACAGTAGCGTAAGGTGAAGATAAAGGCAAGGAAGACAATGTGTATATAACGGAAAGGTTAGGGTTTGTCGTACAAAACAAAGCAAGACTCCATGGATTCAATCTTACTTAAAGCTGATTTCCCCTGATTCTTTATCCTTCCTTGTTGACTCTCGCCGTCCCGGAGCTGGCTGCTTTTACTCTCGCCCCGTACCTGTTGTAAGCTCTGGTAGGCCTCGCGTCGGACTGTTTGACCAATTACTTGGTAGCCGCTGGTTGATCCAGAAAGCGAGCACGTCAGCTGTTGAAGGCAATCGGCACAGTCCTTCCCGCCTTCTTACTCCTCCTCGCTACTACCACATACAACACGCCCTCTGACTCCGCTTCCTCCCTTCTTTTCTCCTCTCTTGGGGTCACGGCCGGCGCGGCCTTTCTGCTTTCACTCTCGGCGGCGTCTCATGCTCACATTTGGATAGTTATCCTCATCTTGTAGGGGTAGTCTTTGCGGGTGGTAGTAGCTTAGCCACACTGGGCAGCCTGATCTTGGTGCCGATGGCTGAGTTTGTCCTGGAGAGAAGCGGGGATTTCGACCCGGTGATCGCCCTGTTCGCAGCGCATTACGCTGTAGGAGCGGCCCTCTACGCGGCATGGATTAGGGATGAGGACATGTTGCGAGAGCTATGGAAGCGAGAGGGGGTAGAAGAAATAATAATCTAGGAAGTATCAGGTGCGTGGGGAAATGGTTTCAGTCGCGCCCGGAAAGAACCAGTGAAAGGTTATGTGCAGTTCGAAAATTATGTACACGCGGTACTTCTACGGGGAAAAAAGGTGTAAAAATACGCAATTAAATCGGTGACAGTGAAAACAAGAAACTATTGGGTGTATTTGAAGTATTTTGCAATCTGCCTTGACCACCAGCTGCCTGCCATGCGACTTTCTTTGCGTGAATCGATCTACAAACGAGGTGATGCCCCCCTCTCTGGGAAACGTCAATGTGACCAGTACTCCGAATTAACACTTCTTCCTCAAATGCATCCATAAGAATATTCAATGAATGAGATATTTTTCGTTATTCCACACTGTGACATTCGCGTGACCAGTATTCCGAATGTACACTTCTGCCTCAAATGCATCCATTAAAATATTCAATCAATGAGATTTTTGTCGTTAATCCACACCACGACGTGCGCTTTTTCCCCCCCACGCTGTATTTTGTCCCGCTCCTGTCCTCCTGAAGCGATCATCTCTTGATTTTTACAAACAGACTCCGATACGCCTTGCCCGCACCACAACCAAGTCTGCCTCCTCCACCTCCTCCTGCGTGATCTTTTGTGCTGCTGCAGCAGGCTTTCAGCTTTCTGTAACGCTTTGTCAAGCAGCCGCTCCGGAGCTCCTTTCACCGACAGCGGCGGGGCTAGCATTTCCAGTATCTTTGCCTCCGGCGCAGATTTCGTGAGGCGTGTCTGTACTTTGTCAAGCTCCTTCTTATATGTTTGTAGAGACAGATTCAGCTCAGCGGTCCCGAGCCGCAACATGTGTAAGGTTGGGCCCACTGCCAGTGTCCCAGACAATCTCTCTAAGAGCTTACATGACGTGCTGGCCCACGGTAGCTTCCCCTATACATCTCTTGAGTTTCAAACGACATTACTGGCAGTTGCTTCTCCGTCGTCTTCCCTTCTTTCCGAGCCTCCTCGATCAAGAGCTGGACAACGGTCCCCGTGAGAGCTACAGCGTGCGGGCCAGTCTACGAGTCCGAAGGACTGACATGCACTTGCTCGACTGGCAGGCTTTTTAAAACTAGGCGTTTATTTGGGCTTATCTGCGGCAGAGGACGCGTGCAGTGCGACGTGTCAGATGTATGCATATCGCTGGCTTTATTCCTCCGAGCTGCGTCTGGTCCTGTCCATATCTAGGCGCACAGAACCAGATCTCACGATGGAGGAGGAAAGGCGCAGAAAGAGGCAGAGATCAATATCTCAGAGGAGGAGAGGAATGGAAGGAGACAGACAAGACACCAATATCAGAATAGGCATGGAAGGAGGCAGATACCAAAATGTGAAAAAGCGCGGAAAGAGGCAGACACCAAAGCAATAGAGGAGCAGAGAATGGAGAGACGAGAACACCATTTAAATGGGAAAGAAAAGGCATGAATGAGGCAGGCAATAAAATAAAGTGAGGACAACCTGACCAAGAAGATGGAATGCAAGCAAAGGAGAGATGGGAGGAGGAGAAGGAGGCAGGGTAGGAAACAGACGAAGAGAAAGTACAGGGCTCACGGGGGGAAAAGCGGAGTAAAAAGGACAAGTGAGGAGGAATGGAGTGAGAAAATCTGCGATGAAAAAGCGGAAAAGGACTTAAATCTCATTCACACTACGATTGGAAAGATTATAGCTGAATACAATGGATTGAGACTTCAAGGGGTAATCGAGAGGAAGAGTGACATGCACCTTTCACTGATCTTCACGTTAGGGCGCTGAGGGAAGGAGGGAGGGAAGGAGGAAAAGAATTGAGGAAACAAAAGAAGCGGTGGACTTTTAAAATGTGCAACAATGCCATAGGTGTGGTATGGTCAGGAAGACAAGGATCTCGGGAAGGAGGAGGAGGGGTGAAGGGAGGCAAGGGGAGGAAGGAACGAGGAAGGGGAGGAGATAAAGAGGTAAGGAAACAGTGAGTGAGGGGAAATGTGCTCTCCGGCGGTCTGTAAAGGACGACGCAGAATTCACGCAGATGTTCGTCTCGTACGTGGACATGAAAGTCATTAATCATGCTCAGGGCGCAAGGGGACGAGGGAGGGAGGACGAAAAGTAGGGAGGGTACGAGGGAGATCAAGCTTTTTGCTACATACATAACCCTCCATTCCTTTTCCTATGCATCTTTGTCTTTTCTCAAGAAGTGTTCTCTCAGCCTGAGAACCATACCCACAATGAACATCACTGGGCAAATATACGTGGCGATCTGACGATAATAGCAGTTGTTCTTTTTTAGATATTTAAGCTGCCTACCATCTTTTCTTGCTGCTGGCTATAATAGCATGTAATTCGACCAGAATGTCAACTTCTTTTTTTTAGGCATACGAGAAGTCTACAACGCTCTACGATCAGAAGCCTCGCAAAATTCCTACTCGCCACTCGCATGGGAGTGATTGTCACAATTATCAAGAGGTGGGCTCTCCACTTGAAGACGAGATAGAGACCTTCAAGACTCTGTATTTTCTAATCTCAACCCTGTGTACAGGGTATACCTTAGCTTATCAGCGACATTGACAACACAAAGTCCTACTGCACAGTGTATTTCCTTTTCGTACCACAAATACGCATACTCCCCTCTTTCAACCGACGTTTATACGTAGTTTTCACCCTCCTGAGAGAGAGCCAGGCTGTCGGCTTGAGTGAAGTCGGTTAGATTAATCATCTCCACGCTACCTCGTCTCCTTAGAGGGTATACCTTACATATATCAGCAACTTCGAGAGTGTGAAGTCCAATGGCACTAAGTGTCTTCTGAGCTTTTGCTTACCTAAAATATGCATAGTTCGCGCTCACAATTGATGTTGTAAAGTCATTTTCACCTTATCGGAGAGTCTGATTGTTCACCGGAGCTACTGTAAGCTGCATCGCAGGCTCCATCCTCGGAGCTACCGTCAGCTCCATCGTCGGTGTCATGACCAGAACTGCCGTGGGTTGTGTCATAGGCATTGAGATCGAAGCCACAATGGGCTGTGTACTAGGACGTGTCGTGGATGCATCAGGATTTGAACCAGGGGTAGGAGTCACGTTGGGGATCAAAGATGTGGTAGAAGCGCTCGGAATAGACTTGGGTGGCACTCCACGATGTGAGGGTGCGACGGTAGTTGCCAAGGCTACTGGAGCAACCGCATCGTATGTGTCTAATGCAGGAATGAACACGAAAGGCGTATGATGCGAATAAACTAACCAAAACACCGCGGGTAAGCTAATACCCAATTAATACTTCAGTATCACCACTTTTCTCCCTGAGAATATATACCAAACGATTCACCCAAGAATCTCGTGCTAAGATAACCAAAATACAATCAAAGACAACCAAAGACAACGGTCGACGCCAGTCCTGTTGTTTTATAGTAAGATAACATACAAAATGATAAGGTGGACGCAAACCATGACATGACACAATGGCGATCAGCACATCGTAGTACACGCCGTAGAGCCCAGAACGTATATAATCCTGTAAAACGGCTCAAACGGCTCTTTCTACCTTCTATCGCTGATCCCTGTTCCCTTAGCGTCATAATCATGTCATTGCTATATTCGCGTCAGCGTACATATACCTAGACTCGCTTTGATTTCTTCCGAAGCAAGATCCCCGCTCTTACTTTCCCCTTAATGCCCTTCGGTCTGTTTAATCTAATAGTCGTCAAGCGAACAACGATAGAGCGAAAGACTTTGTTTACTGGATGTATTCAGTTGTTTATTGCCCGGAGGTCCGATTTCATATCGAAAAATGCGTTTTCGATAGTACATGATGCAATTTCGCCTGGGGGTGCGAGCGTCCCAAAGCCCGCGGGGGGGGCCGTCACCCCCCAGCCGGTGGCCGTATCGATCCATCCTCCTCAGTTTGGTGCCGAGCTTGCGTGCGGCACAGGTTGTACGCCGCAGGCGTCTGACAGCCACGCCCCTGCGTGGCGGGCGCAGGTTCATGTAGAAGTCACGATAGATCATCGGTTCACCGACCAGCATTCATGAATGACCAAATGTTAGTCGGGGAGAGGGCCCTGCTGTGACAGATCATGACATGAATCGCCGAAGGCGTCTTGTTTCAAAAAACATATCTTTGTTTTCTCGAGTGTATCCGTTGAAACTTGTGCAATGAACGCATGTATGTAACGTGGCTCAATTGCTTATCATCGTTATTGCTTTCTTGACACCGATAAACACTTTTATATATCTTCGAGATAGTTCTGAAGGCTTCTCGATTTTCTGTACGGACGGCATCAAGGGTATCTCTACAAAAAGATTCATTATATCTGGTGTTTCAATTTTTTAAACCAGAGTATGTCCTGTATCTCCATTGCGCTCCAGGCTCAGTTGCGCTTGTATCTGACTCTAGAATCTTCTCTTTCAACTGTTTTGAGCAAGACGCACTCCAGCTCTCAACAATTCCAAATGATAAAGTAAATTTACAGTGTCATGAGTTATGATTGTCGTACTTATTGATGGACGACCTAAAGTGATAAAAATCCCAACACCACACACACCTACCAGAGCCCACTCATTGGTAGCTTAAAACAAGCTCCCAGGCCCCCATACAAGTACATATTGACCGCATTTGAGCATGAGAATTTCCTCAAGCGTATTCCTAGTCGCCCTCCTGGGCTCTGCAAGCATTTTCAGCACTGTCTCTCAGGAATGTCCACGGCTTTCCCTCAAGGCCCAAATTAGGCCGAATGCTAAGCGTGCGATCTTGGCAGGCAAGGGCCAGGCCATGATTACCGTCAGGCTCAAAAGCAAAGATCCCGTCGACAACCTGGAGTTCCAAATGAACCTGCCAAATGGCTTATTGGTAGAGCGAACAGCGATGCGTCCGTCCTCAAAGCTCTATACGCCACCGCAAATTGTTGAGAATATCGACGGAACGACGGCTATTTTTTGGCGTGGCCTCGCTTTCACCAAACGCAAGGGAGGGAAGCGCCGCTTTCGCGTGAAGGTGAAGGCTGACGAGTGCGCCCCTGAAACGTTGACAGTAGATGCTTTCGCTTACCTAGTGAATACTACAGGGGCCTCGTGCATCACGACGCTGGCCGACTCTACAATCGTAGAAGTACGACACTTGAAAAAAAAATATGTCGCGTCTTGCGCGCCGACTCCAGCTCCTTCTATCAATCCCACGCAGCCGTTTATGCTCTTTCGTGAAGGACAGCGATGCTCGCAAGCGGGGCGCCTGGCCCCCTTTCAGGACCGTCGCCTGTCACTATCCTCGGAAATGAAGAGACATGGCGGCTTCGCCGCTCAGAATCATTCCGGAGACCGAGATCTCCAATCAATTGATACCCCGGAGGCTTGCTACGAATACTGCTCCCTGAACGGGGGGGAGGAAACGCCATTCTTCGTCGACTGGAATACCATGACCAGTCAGTGCTTTTGCTGCGGCACGGTATGCACGCCTTTTATCTTTGATCCTGCTTTCAACGTGTACGAGGTACTCTTACCCAAGACGCTCCCGCCAACTTCAATGCCTACTGCGGCTCCGACCATGACGCCGACGATGCAGCCCACGGCAGCTCCTACGAAGGCGCCGACGATGCAGCCGACAGCACCTCCGACCATGACGCCGACGATACAGCCCACGGCAGCTCCTACGAAGGCGCCGACGATGCAGCCGACAGCACCTCCGACCATGACGCCGACGATGCAGCCCACGGCAGCTCCTACGAAGGCGCCGACGATGCAGCCGACAGGTCCGACGATGACACCAACTATAGCTCCGACCATGACGCCAACGATCCAGCCGACAGCAGCCCCCTTTGTGCCAATCAGCCAGACCCTCGAACCGGGTGAAAATAGGTTATTCACGTCCGTTCTGCGCGGGGATTATGCGTATTTTGGGTAAGCAAAGTCTCCGCAAAACTCACAGTGCCTTAGCACTTTATGCTTTCTAAACTGCTATTACGCTTGGCATTCCTCTACACAGGAGTTACACTTCCCCCGGCAGAGTGGTAAAAATGACCGTTACCAACGTAACTCGGGTTGACGGCCTGATATTCAACGCAGGAGAAAACTCGCTAATCTCGTCAGTTGCAAGTGGGGACTATGCGTATTTCGGGTACGCAACGGCTCAGAGGACGTGCTCAGTGCGGTAGCACGCAGTAGCACATCATACTTTTAAAATTTCTTAGAAGCTTGGCTTTACGCTATACACAGGACTGATACTGGTCCAGGCGTAGTTGTAAAGGTGAATCTGACTGACTTCAGTCGGGTGGACAGCTTATCTTTCAACACGGGTGAAAATTTCCTCTGGGGTGCGACAGAGAGCGGGGACTACGCGTATTTCGGGTAAAGGCTTATGAGAAGTCCACCGTGACATAGCACGCGATATTCACCAGGTCCCGATAAACTTCGCGATATCCTACACATAGTACTGCCACTTCGCCAGGCATAGTCGTAAAGGTGAATCTGACCGACTTCACTCGCGTAGACAGTCTGACTTTCAACGCGGGTGACAATGCCATATACCCCTCGTTTACAAGGGGAAACCTTGCATATTTTGGGTAAGTACGGGCTCAGAAGAAATGCTTCGAGCCGTAGCAGCTTATGCTCTCTAAGCTCCTGACGAGCTTGCTATTCCCCCGTATACAGGTTGCGTATTGGTCCAGGCAGGATAGTGAGGGTGAACTTGACGGACTTTACTCGTCTGGACTCCTTAGATTTCGACTCGGGTGAAAATGATCCATACTCGGTAGTTGTGAGCGGGGACTACGCATATTACGGGTAAAAAATGGCTCCAAAAGAGTGGGTAGGGCCGTAGCTCTCTCCATGCTATCAAAGTCACTCATAAGTCGGACTATAAACTACACGCAGTTGTGACAGATCTCCAGGCAGAGTTGTCAAGGTCAATCTGACGGACTTTACTCGAGTGGACGGCATCACTCTCCCTTCCGGTGAAGATCGACTATACTCAGCGGTTCTTAAGGGCGACTATGCATATTTCGGGTAAGCGACGTCTCCAGGGAAGCTCAAAGCTCTGTATCATGCTCTATCAGCAGCTGATATGCTTGCCTATACAATACCCGCAGGACTGGCACTAGTCCAGCCATAGTCGTAAAGGTGAACCTGACAGACTTCCAACGAGTAGATAGCATGTCTCTCAACACGGGTGAGAATAGCCTAAGGACAGCCGTTCAAGACGCGAACAATGGATTTTTCGGGTAGGCATCAAATTAAAAGATATCCTCAGTATCATAGCATTTTATGATGGCTGAGTGCTAATGAGCTTGCATATGTGCTATACACAGGACCGACACTAGTCCAGGAATTGTCATAAAGATGGGTATCTAATCTTCATCGAGAGCTCACGTCTTGACGCTAGTAACAGTCATCTCCTCACCAGTACCAAGTATCAGTGGAAAGTATCTCTGACTCCTGATTGAGATACTCCTAAGCGTTCTATGATTATTAAAGCAGAGCTAATCTAATTCCTTGGCGGAACAGGGAGGTAGAGACTCAGCGTCCGGAGAGTAGTCTCAGAATCAAGACCACCCCAAAGCATCCTTGATTATCTACTAATAAAACGTGTGAGGTCACAAAGCGTCCTTGAATATCGATTAATAACACGTATGAGGTCATCTAACTATTGTCATATTAGACCCAACCCCTAAACGGCGTCAAACTCGTTCGTATTCTTTGAATGTCCCCTCAAACACATGACCTCTCCCCTCTAGATAAACATGTACCTGTCAGACTGTCCACTCGCTATATCTCATGCCCCCAATGTGTTAGGGTTAGGGTGAGTAACACGTGTGAGGTGTGTCATATTAGACCCAACCCCCAAACGGCGTCAAACTCGTTCGTATTCTTTGAATGTCCCCTGAACCCCAAACGGCGTCAAACTCGTTCGTATTCTTTGAATTTCCCCTCAAAGACATGACCTCTCCCCTCTCGATAAACATTAGAGCCAGCTGCGTGACGTCGACTTTTGATATCGATATAGATAGGGTTAGGGTTAGGGTTAGGGCTAGGGTTAGGGTTCGGGTTTGGGTTAGGGTTCGGGTTTAGGGTTAGGGTTAGGGTTAGGGTTAGGGTTAGGGTTAGGGTTAGGGTTAG